AGAAGAAGATGATGAAGAGGACGAGCAGCAACAAATGAATAATGATGACGAGCAATTTGACGAAGAATTCATGGAAGTAGATAATGATCAACACCACCATTTACAAAAGGAGTTTTCTATTCCATACATGAAGCAAGCTATTGATTTTTATGATCAGATAAACGATAAAACAGGGAGGAAAAGCCATTCTTGGAAAGCATTTCAACATCGTTTTCCAAAAGTGAAAAATCGTAGCTTTATAGAACGTTTTCGTAAATATTTGGAAAGTAGTGGGACAAAAAATCAAAAGCTTGATCAAATAAATCAATATACATATAACAAATTCAAAAAGGCACGTTCAGAGTTTCATTTTGTACATGATATTCATTTAAAAAGATGGGCTTTACAGAAAGCCAGAGAAATCAATGACAGGACATCTGAAGCAAGTGATAGTTGGATTCTTCATTTCAAGCGTCGGCATGCATTATGCAGCCGAAAAGTAACTAAACTGATAACACAACGAGAAGTAGTTGATGCAGATACTATCAATGATTCAGTAAATGATTTCGTAAATAAAATTAAAAAACTTCTTCCACATTATCGAGGACGAAATGTTTTAAATACCGATCAAACCGGTCTTGAGATCGAAATGGTAGGCAATCGCACTTTGTCATTCAAAGGTGAAAAGGCCACATTTGGAAAAGTTCGATCTGTACATAATACATCACATAGCTACACTGTTCAATTCATTACTTCATTAACTGATCAGCCAATTGGCAAATGGTATTTATGTTTGAAGGAAAAGAATGGTCATATGTCTGATAATATCAAGAAGGATTTATTTCAAGCGTCCAGGAAAGTTGACATCGTCTCTTGTCGAATATTGGATTCACAACGTATTAAAACCAGCAGTTGGTAATGAAAACGTTTTACTATTATTGGATGTTTGGGGTGGTCAAACTGATCAAAAATTATACTCGACGATGAAACATCTTCGACTTGAAATTATTCCAAAGAAAACAACTTCGATGATTCAACCACTAGATATTACATTCAATCGTCAATATAAACATATTATTCGTACGATTTATGATCATGTGCGTCTTTATGATATAAACTGTAATCTTTCACAAAGAAACAATATAATTAAATTAACTTCGTTTAAAGATGATGAAGCTGTTTGTTGATTTGATTTTCTGATACGTTTATTACTCGTCAGAAATATCTCGGTAACTAGAGTTAGATACAATATCTAACAAGTAACGTTAAATACAACAATTAGTTTGATATTTTTACCTTTATCACTCAAATTCGCAGATAAAGACGCTGCAATTGGACGTAACACTTTTGTTTTATCATATTCGACGTAATCACGGTAATGAGCTGATTCAAATAATGCTTCAGCTAATTCACTAAAATTATACTCTGTTGATAATTTAGCTTGTTTATGCTTTTTACAATGATCTAGATATTGAGGTAGTTTGAAATCATATTCAGCTAAGCGTTAAGCTATAGTAATGTTGAAGTCTCGTAGGACTCAGTTGCCACTTTTTTCAGTGTAGTTCAAGCAAGTTCCGCTATGACCATGTTTATAAAAAACGAGTTCAGCCTAAAAAAATGGTGGGCCTACTGAGCTGGTTCGATTGTCCTCCTCCGCCGTTTCCACCAACAATGACACTTCCCTTTGTGACTCCTTTGGGCCAACGCATTATGGATGATTCCCCCGATCAGCCACAAAGACAGTGCGCAATTGATCGACAACGACTCCTTCAGGATTTGACAATTGTGTAAGACAATTTCCTTCTCCTTGATCACCAGCCATGACAATGCCTTGTAATGTAATGACAGCCATTGTAATGTCTAACAGCCTGTAACTCGGTGGTCGAACATCGTAGAAACGTGCTGAGCATCTCCTTTTATGGGGAATTGAAGGGTCTATCGAGTGATATGGTTGAAAAACTTCTGAAAAAGTTTTAAGGTTACTGAGTTTTCTAGAAAACCGAGTTTTTCAGAAATGACTATCTCAAGACTCCGAAGCCTGGCATAAAGCTTCTTCATTGAAACTTATAGAACTCGACGCGCTTTTTCCGTTGCTACCGACTTAAAGGTTCTACGTTAGGGAATGCGGTCAGCAGACGTTCTATAAAGGCACGCACACATTTCACGGAAGTCAGCCAGGTCTCCGCCGCCATCGCTTCTTCTGCGCTTTATCCCATTCCAACGATTCCGCCCATGGTGCTTCATCCATTTGGATCAATATTGAATTTTTGTACTCGATGATTTCTGTAATCG